TGTAAAGACATTCTGTCAAGATTATATATGTGTGTGCATGTGTGTGTGTGTGTTTGTGTGTATATGTTTGTTGGTGTGTATTGGTTTGTTTTTGTAAGTGAGGGATAAAAAAATAATATTTCAGAACTATGATACCCTGTGCATATATTTAAACATAATGAAATTGGTCCCATAGACATTTCTATATGATAGTGTTTAACAATTTGTGATGACCTCTCCAATGCATTGATTTGACTTTACTGTGCTAATTTGAAGCACATTTGGATGTACATTTCTTAGGATTGTTGGGATCTGGAGGTTTTGTCCACTTTCTCCACCAGATGGCGCACGAGATATCCTGGGGGCAGGAGCTGACTGCTACACCTGTCTTCAATCTGCTCATCAGGAGGCTCCTTCTTAAGGAGGCGGAGACGGACACTCCAGTGCCAGAAGTGTTTGCCAGTAATGGTTAGCAAAGCCTGAGCCAGCCTGGTTCTCTTAACCCAAGAACTTGTGAACCTGCCTGATCCAGTCTTTTTCTGTTTCACAGATATTCCTGCCTGACAATCTGAAAACCTGGAGAGAGACTCTTTCTGGAGTCTGCCTGTCTGCTCTCAGTGAAACCCTGGAGGGTTGTTTCTGCCTGGAATCTGCCAGCCCGCTCTCAGAGAAAACTGAGAGGGAACTTTGTCTGGAATCCGTCTGCCTGCACTCAGTAAGCCTCCGCCCTCTGCGTGCCGACCAACCTCTGGAACCTCAAGGTTCCTCCCCTCTGCAGCTCCGCTCAACTTCAGAACAGGTACTCCCTTGTACATCAGAAAAACCAGCAATACTTGGATCAATACAAACCTCTCTGTCCCCCCTCAGTGGTGAACCCCTGCGTGACCAGTCAACCTACCAAGGACCAGTTCATGAAATATTGTGCTTCTTTGTTAATAAACCTTTGAACTTTTTCTCTGCCTCTTGAGTGATCTCTGCATGTGGGTTAGGCACCTTAAACCCATCATGACAAGGATGATGTCTAGTGATGTTCCTTCTTCATCCTGTTATTTATTGATACTATCATGCTCTTCATTATCGGTCTGCTCCACCATGATGCAAACTGAAACCATTGTGAAGTTGATCAGAAAACAGACAGTTGGTAGCCTTATATCAAAATTGATTCCACTGTGAAATGTTCCTAGTGTGCTGCATGATTGGCTGCAAAACTAGACAAGGATACAAATCAAACTTGTCATTTTATCATATACCTTTAGATAAGGACAAAACTGGCCGATGGGTGGCAGCCAGCAGTTGTAAGGACTGGGAACCCTCGATAAATTTGTGGACCAGTTTAATTGGTTCCCTTGAAGAAACAAAAACAGTCTGACAAAGCAATTCAATATGATTATATTAGTAATTTACACAGCATTATCAGTCATGTTTTACCTTTGCCATTATGCAGTATGTTGTCCCCCTTTATGGGTGAGTATTACCTTGTCCCGTTGATCTAGTGATGGGATAAACTGTTTTTCTGAGTGAAATTAATCACTTCAATTTGTAGATTAAAATTATTTATTTAAAGGATTTGTCAACCAAATGATGGAATTGCAGTTTAATAGTTTAAATGTGCTTCTTCATTCACATTGTGAGCTCTTAAGCTCTACAGAACCTAACCCGTTTTTTCTGCTCCATTACATTTATAATAGGCAATAAGCATGGCCTTACTGTCATTAAGTGTGCTAATCACAGACTTTTAATAGACATGTTTCTTTAAAGCTAAAACAGATAATGAATATCAGACAAACCTAATTTCAAAACAGCTTTAATAAAAAAGAGAAATATAAAATCATATGATGAATTTTATATAACAAATTGTTACTTATGAAAAATACATTTCCAGATAACATCTGAAAAAAAAATCACATAAATCACTATATTAATTTTCTCACCTCTTCCTCTCTCAGTTCATTGCTATATTATGTAACCACTGCTACGATGCTACTAGATGTGCTAATTCTACAGTAAAATTAGTTGAATTTGTAAAAAGAAAAAAAAGATACTATTGCTATAATGGCAAAACAACTCAGAAAAAAAACCCTTGTAATGGCATTGTTTAATGTTCGCCCTAACAGATGGGTCAATACAAATATTACAATTATTTTATTGTTGATTTATCAGTCTGTTAAACCCCAATAATACCTGCCAGTTACATGTCAACACAGATGTTTCCCAAGCAGTTTATCTAATTAGGTATTTAATTTGTTATTTAATGCATATACAGTATGAAGGTTTATTTAAAGAGTTTGTCCTGAGTGATTTCTTTTCAGGAAAGAATTAGGGAGAGAAAGCTTAAAGGTTTAAACATAGATCTTTCCAAAAAAATGACAAACTGCAGTTTATCTTGGCAGAACTGTCTTAGATAAACTGCTTGGGAAAACATTAGTTTTGACATGTAACTGTCATGTCCACTGCCCTGATAGCTGACCAAATTGTTATCTTCACTCACCTGCAAAACCCTTCCCGGTCACTAATTATTATTCATCTTATCCACCTATCCACCCTCAACTAATGAGCCTGCCTGGATCTGAACGTTTCTGCCTGAACTTCCTGTTGGACCCATGTGTGGATTCTTGGAAACGTTTATCTGTCAATTCCGTTTTTGATCTGAACCCCTGACTGGGCCGCGGACTCCTGGATCTCAGACACTCCTGGACTGAACTGTTTTCTAATCGGGCTAAGACTTCACTGGGGCTGCTGTACCAGGGAAACTTCCACCGAATCTCGTTGGCTCTCCATCGGCCGGATCCTGCCTCACTCGGAGAGAATGGTCAGAACTGTTAAACCAGAGTGCCTGTGAAATGTGGTCCCCCAACTCACCCCACAGCCGCTGCAAGATCCACAGCACTGCGTTCTGTGTTTTGTTTAACCAATCTATAATGGTAAAATGGTCACTTTTACCAAAATATTGGTTAATTAATGTGTAACCACATAGTAAGCCAGAAACAGGGAATGATCCTTGACCAACGGTATGGTGATAAATCCCTGCATCCAACACCCCTGTCCCAACTAAAGCTTCTTGGAATTTACTAATAGTTAATACTAATGTTATAGCCAAGGTTAAAGCCAAGATTTGCATGCTGTACATATGCAAATAACAGTGATTGTTCTCTAGGTCTATAATTATTGCACACTACAGTTGACTACATCCAAACAGTCAGAGTAGTAACTCTCAGTTACCTGTACCATTTTTATTGGTTGTTTGGTTAACCAATTAACTTGGTTGATCTGAAAACAATGGCTTGGTCAGTTTCTGACCAATATATTGGTTAATCTAACTAAAACTAGTTTCACCACCTAGTTTGGTTTTTTTTCAAACGGATCCATTCATAGTGTTTCATCCTCAATTCATTAGATAGTTGCAAAGGATAAATCCTGTAAAGTAAATCAGTATCTCCTGCAGCTAGTGAGGGCTTTTTCCTCTCTGAGAACCCTTTCATCACAGTGGCATGTCTACACGGGAGTAGTTTAACCCTGATAGAGACAGGCAGACAGACTACACAATGTGTTTTAAGCATGTTTAACAATGCAGCCACAGGTGTGCTTAACAATGCAACCACAGGTGTGCTTATCTGTGATGCTGTGTCTCAACCTATTAAAAGCTTTCAAAGCCATAACATGTAATCTTGGCATTGTTGAAATTAAAGGCAGAGGAATCTGAATTTGAATACCCAGAGTATCCTTTATCCATGTGTCCTCCATTCTGACATAAATCAAAGCCTTTCTTGTCAATGATGTAATTTCTACTGACTCTGTTGCACTGCAGCATGACAGAGAAATCCCCTCCATCGTTGACTCTATTCTGCAAAGATGATAAAAAAAGACCTTCAATGTCTGAAAAGCTAATGAACCAGAGAGGATGCCAGGGAGTAAAGAGGATCCATAAGATGTGATGCATGGATGGAAGTTATGGCACTGTCACACCTTGACGATTTAGCTAGTATATGCTGACGTACGAAAAATTTGGCAAAATTCCGGTGTACATTTGATAAGTGATGGGTACGTTTTGTATAAGTTATGAGCATGCTGAAGCATGCTGGCACACGTCAACATACGGCAAGTACATGTCAGCATATGCCATACGTGGGCCATAAGTTACAGGAAAGTTATTTGATCGTTGAAATACTTTAATCGTAAGTTACTCATAAGTCGTGGAGGTTATCCAAAACCTATGAGTAACTTTTGCATAACTTATCAACAACTTATCTCCAAAGCATATTGACATATGCAGGTATATTTGATGTGTTCTAGAAGACTACCGAACATGTTCCTAACTTATGGTTATTGGCAGCAATTTGGTATAAAAGGGGTTTCACAGGAGGAAACCGCCAGCACTTCTCCAGACTTCATGTTATGCAGACATTCCACAAGAGATGAGAGAATTTGGCGAGGCTGAGATGGGAATACATACTAGCTATCCTCCAACATCAGCTTGATCTCATGAATTTGATTCTGTTCCAGTTGTAGCGTGAGTGTGATGGATCCTCCCCACGTTCACAGCCATGGCCACCACCAACAAGCTTCCTAGCAGACATGAGGCTGAAAATGCTGCAACTGCAAACTTTTTTTATTTTTATTTAATCATCTATTTATTTGGCAAGCGGTAAACAGCAGCTAGGTTAATACCGTAATCAAAGAAATCTTTTTATGCAGACTGGGCGCCTCTGGGCACATTGCTACCACCCTCAGAACACTGACTTGTGAAATATCAGGGGAATTATGCTGCTGTGTGTTATGTGAGACAGCATTTTAGAAGATTCTGGGACGTCAGGCATACGCTGGCTAAAACGTCAAGGTGTGACAGCGCCATTCGATGTGCACAGCACATTTTGCTGGGGGGAGTGTGGGGTAGATAACTCCATAAAAACTTATGCATGGGTGTCTGAATTTGTATATATGAGTTTATATAATTTAAGAAATATAGCATACAATTTTTGAAGTAACGAAAAGTTCTAATATTACAACTTTTTACAAATATAAATTTACAAGTACGAATCTACAGCCCCCGATGAAGCTGTTACACTCCTGAGCAGTTGGTGGCAGTACTGCACCAGAGCTTTGTTCACCAACCTTGTGATTTTTCCATGTAACCCTTCCTATGTCCAAAGCATACCTTCTTGTTTTCTGTCCTCAAACAAATTATTATTTCCCACTCCATCTGCAAATCCCCAACCATATAGATCCGCTGTTTGGACACTTCTATAATCCACTGTCATCATTCTCCTGTGTTTCTGCCCTCAGACATTCCCCAGTTATCCCTCTCTTCTAGTCAGACAGACAAGAGTCATTATGAAACTGACTCCACAACCAGTCAACCTCTTTATCTTCACCTCCTCCTTGGAAACTTCTTTTAAACAATGGTGAGCGCTGTCCTTCTTCTCCGCATTTAAAAGATTAAAATCTCCCCTAATCCCACAAGAATATTCACTATTCCCTTTTTTCAATAATCATTTAAACCTTTCACTGTTGTTGGCAGTTGATGCAAGCACATGCAGGTCTCACAAAAACACCAATAAATAACATTAAAAACATCATGACAACCTTCTGCTCACAGATACTTTTTATGGCCTTCACTAATGGATAGTGTGAAGTAAAATGAGTGCTGAGAGTCGATATGCAAGGAAGAAATAGTTTTATTTTACTCTGCAGAGGAGAACAACACTCACAGTTGAACTGTTAGTGAGACTCTGGCAGGATGGTTTCCCACCCCTGTGTATAAAGAGAATTTTCACACACAAACATTGGGTCTTCCCAAGAGAAACAACTTTGAGTTCATCAAAGACATACCTTTTTCACTAGTCAGTTTTCTTTCAAAACAGCTGTCTTAAACACCTTGAAGGACATGTACTGTATCTATTAAAATAATTAAATGATCATATATTGTCATGT